TTGGACAGGGGGGTTGGACTGGATGATCTCCTGAGGTCCCTTCCAACCCCACCATTCTGTCATTCTCTAATAGGAAAAGATCATCTGCATGACAGACGCATGAAATAGGCTAAAACGAACACCACACATGCTTTTCACCTGGGCATCTTGGCTTCAGCCATCCACAGAAGATCCATGTTGCAGGCAAGGACAGGCAGATGGGGGTATGGTATGTCTTGCAGCTCTGCTCCAGGGTTCCCGTTGCTCAACAGTACATCAATAATAAGTTGCAGGCTTGTCTCCCACCTCACTGGCTCACCAAAGAGAATCACCCCTGAAAGATTTCAAGAGATGCTTGGGAACTGATAACTTCCAAGTATGAGACCCACTACCAAAGGCCACCTACTAGCAAAAACACATCTCTGCTGGGATGCCCTGGCTAATACAGCTACCACTGGAACATGGCTGGTGCCAGCACTCCAGTCTGCATCGCACTGCACCACATGCACAACTGGTCCCAGATGTTGGTGTATGGCACAGAGAAAATTTGGCTTTGCTCTTATCAAGCTTGTGCTTCACACTGCATGAGGGCAGCGAGGCTGCCCCTGACTGTATCCTCTGAATGGCTCCAAACTGGACAATAGTGGATTTAGATGAGATATTAGGAAGAAATTAGGAAGAAGCTATGGATGCCCCCTCCCTGGAAGTGTTGAAGGCCAGGTTGGATGAGGCTTTGAGCAACCTGGTCTAGTGGAAGGTGTCCCTGCTGATGGCAGGGGGGTTGGAACTGGATGAGCTTTAAGGTCCCTTCCAACCCAAACCATTCTATGAGTCTATGAATAAGCTGCTTGTGGATACCAATGAGCTGACAGCACATCATTAGCCCCCATCCCAGCTGGCTTGCCTTGTTATTTCTGCTTGCTGTTCATATGTAAATACAGGCTACCTCTTACCTTCTATAGTGGGAAAGCCAGTGGTTGGAGGAGGCTGCCAGAAAAAAAAAAAACAAGGTTCAGTTAGTAACACAAAACCTAATGCCGTCTCCAAAACAAAACTACAAATGCTCCCTTTGAACCTGCCAAGGCAGCTCCATAAAGAGGCAGGACAAGGCCACCTAGAATCCCAAACCACCTCCCAGATTGGATTTCACAGATCTTGCGTTCTTCTCTCAGAGACAGAGGTGTCAACCAAACCATCTTACTACTCACTGCAAGGAATAGTAATGAAAGACAGGCATGGCATGAGGAAGGAGAGGAAAGACACTGCCCTTCCAGCAGGAGCCAGCGGCTGGAAAGTGCAGAGAGATGCTGCCTGCTCAGCACCAGTCCCAGGCTTTCACTGAAGAGGGTCACTAGCTGTGGCTCTGTAGCTTCTCCACCCCATGCTGTATGCTGTAACCACCACCACCACCATCTGGCCACCCCTTCAACCGATGCCTCAGGAAATTACCAGCTCCTTTGGCCTCCGGCTCTGATCCACCATGTCTAACAGGGGATATGCTTTCCTCAGTGCCTCTATGGTGACCACATGCTTGAATCCCAGGCTAGTTCAGACCATCAAGGAAAGATGTGGAGACTCTTTGGGGTTTGTTTGTTTTTGTTCTTCTAAGTTTAAGGCATCTACAGGATTAAGAAATACATGTCATAGTAGTAGAGCAGTTATTTAACCTAGTAATGCATAACCTCACGGCTTTTGGTCAAACTGTATGTTGTGCTTCAACCTAAAGGTGATCCTAAAAGTGACAAAAAAACCCAGACTGGGGTGATTTAGTTTGTGATCAGCAATCCCTGGAATTAGGCAGAGAGCAGAGGTCACTCCAAGACAGAATGGATGTGTTTTGGGAAACCTTTAAGGCCAGAGTTCTCATACTGGTGCAGCCCAGGGGGTTGGTCAGGCTTCTTAGCTAGAAGCAGAACCAGTGAAGCTCTGGTCAGCTTAGCTAGTGACAAGGAAATGGTCTGTGCTGATGAAACAATGCAAGTGAAGGATGAGTTGTGTTTGCTTTCAGAACACCTTGCCCTTAGCTCACCCTACTGGCCTTGGGAAAGAGAGACAAGCCAAGGCTTTGTACCAAACAAAGTCAAATGTTAAGTACAAGGTGTGATGGTGTCAGTGTACAGGCCACGATGTTGCAAAACCTTGCAGACAGTTCTTACCTCCTTGTAGACACAGGATATGTCAGACCTGTACCCTCACCTCAGCTAGGCAAAATCCATGTGGGATTGTAGTTTAGACCATGTCCCTGTGTTGGCACACTTTGCTTCTAATGATATTTAAGTTCCTTCAATTGCTGACAGATTCCTGGGGAAAAACTTAGCTGTGGGAGAGCTGGGAGTGGTTCCTAATGCACTTGGCATTAGAAAGAATGGGAAGGAACACAATTTTATCTCAAAAGCGAGAGAGGCACGAAGCTGCTGGAGTCCTCATGGTGATACAAAAGACCTCATGGTCTCTACAAAAGGTTTGATGGTCCCCTG